TATACCAGTTAGCCTCATTAGCGGCACATTACATACATCACAATCAAATAGCAGTGATTGGTTAAATTTGAAAAAAGTACCCGCCTACCGTCGAGCGAACAAATTCTAATGCTGCGAGGTCAGACGGTTTCTACGAAGTGAAACCGGCTACAGTAGAGTTTCCAAATATTGTAATCAAGTTAGAGTAATGCTACTTCAAAATAGTATTACTCATTTAAAAACATAACGTAATGGTCCAAGAAATTACTCAGGCATCAGTGAACTAGTATTTGGGAAAACCACTACTTAAGCAGAGTAACTGAAAGACTAACTGTCAGGACGTAACATCTGATTTATCATTTTAAGTCAGTGTAATTGAAAGGGCAAAATATGAAATAATGCAAAGGAATGCAAAAGTTCAAATCAACAAAACACTTTTGTCATTTGTAGACATATTCACAGTGAGAAGAGGAACCAAAACTTTTACTCAAGTAAAAGTACTTAAATTAAAATGTTACTCAATAATAGTAAAGCTATGCTGCTAGAACACTACTCTAAAAAGTACAATTTCTTTCAAATGCTACTCAAGTAAATGATTGTGAGTACTACCCACCTCTGCTTATTACTTGAGATACTCTTGCTCTCTCTTAGTATTGTTAGTTTGGCAAGTCCCACATTTTTTCACGATTACATTTTGTGGTGACAAGTACAGCGCATTGGATCGTCTGTGTCCCGGACTGAACCAGGCTGCTTGGTTTAACTGTCTCTTTAATATACCACCACACTCTCCTCTTTTGCCTTTTGGAAACTCCGACAGCATCCCTTAATTTCACCCTTGCGTTGTATTTTGTCCCGTTTTCCTTTGGCCCGCACATTTGTCATGTATATTTCTGCTTGCCTTAGGGGAATCTCGAGCCATTTCACCAGTCTATCGGTGACACAGCCCTGGCCTATGTGTCAAACTGCACCTCAGTGAAACAAGAGGTTTCTGTCTGCTGTGTCCGCTCTCCTCTCCTCCATCGCCTTTTTCCATCACTTATTCCACTATCTCTCCCCAGACACACTTTGTGGTTAGTTGGTCTCACCGGAGTGTATTTTGGAGTTAAAATCCTTCACAAATCGGCCGTTCAGTCCCATTGGTGGAAAAAAAGTGTAGTGTTTTGTCATATTCGTGAGGAGTGACACAGATTTCTGTATTGAGGCAAATACTTGGGGTCCAATTAAAATACTGTACATGAAAAAAAGGGTGAGGATGGATGCAGAAAAGTGTTTCGCTCCACTAGGCTTTTATGCATCTATATCTGTTGTATATAACTAGTGAATTATTTATGCAGCACTATAGCTGGAAACTTTTAGAAATATTACATTGTCATGGTTGGAGCAATCCCTTACTAAAGATTTAGAATATGGATGGGCTATGCCAGTACCAGTATCAGTACTGGATGATGTTGAATTTTTTTATTTATTTTTTTTTTGCCAATATCAGTATTGGTTAAGGTCAGAATATTGATTTTCAGAGGTGGTGCTCTCAATGACCGAGGCCTCAGAGCAATTTGAGTTTCTCTCAATATGACATTAAATGGAAGTTGTGTATTTTTAAACAATAATCATAAGAAACATAACATAATAATAATAATAATCATATGTAATGGATGCAAATAAAAATGTAATTGTACTAGCAAAAAACTAAAACTACTTTCTAAGTTTCCAATTCACCATAATTCAAATAAATAGAAATGTGCGTGTCTCAAGAACAATGGGGAAAAACAGACCCTAAATATATTTAAAAAAAAACAAACAAACAAATAAACGGTGTATTATAGTGAGGGCCCCAAACTTAAGTTCGCCTAGGGCCCCAAAAATGCTAACTCCACCATTGTTGATTTTCAATACTGATTATTTTTTTTGTTCTTCCATTCGCTGGATCAGACTAATGGAAAAGCATTATATGGCTGTATTTTTACACAAACATGTAACTTGTAATTATTTTATCCCCCACTATTATTTTTACAAAAGTGAAAAGTTTATTTGCGATTGCTACGTATGTAACTTTTTGGTCTGGGGTCCGTCACCTGCTTGTTTCTATGGATATGTCACTGCTCTGCCTGGAATGTTCCACAGTATCACATTAAACAGCACTACATTGCATTTATTCAACTACAGGTGGATTTATATCTCAAAAATACATAGAAAAACAGGCATTCTGACTGCAAGTGCGGTCCCCTCTCCACAGATCTGACCTGGAACTTGGTGTGGTTTGGTCTCCATGAATTTAAAAAGGTTTATACTGTGAAACATTCCAGACAAAGTAATAACATCTCTATGGAAAAAACTATTTGACAGACCCTCCACCAGAAAAGTTAAACAATGCACCTTTAACTTAAGATTAATTCATGGGTCTTTCTATGGATTTTAAATTAAAAATTGGTATCAGTATATATCAGTTATCGACTGCAGGACAAATATCGACTGTAGGACAAATATCAGATATCGATATCTGCCCCAAAAATATATATCGGCCCATCCCTGGTTTAGTTGTAAAATAGCTGGAAGTCAGATTAGAATCATATGAACATTCAGTAAGACATCACAACAGCAGCACCAAGATAAACTACCACATCTACTTCACACACTTTCTTCCTTGTGAAAAATGGCTTGTTTTACATATAATACCAGAAAAGAGCGTGTGCCACCTTCTACATTATGGGGACATTATTTATACGAATGCCTCTGCCAGCTCTTTACACATGCTAGATGCTGCGTATCATGGAGCTCCCAATTCATCACAGGCAGCAAAAGCCTCATTCACCACTGCACACTCCACGCTGTACTCATGGGTAAACTGATCTTTGCTGCACATGCTCAGACCTCCGCACCAATGCACATTCATTTATAAATCCATTCTCAGTCTCAGAGCATCCTGCAATGTTGTTTCACACACAGACAGCACCATCTTAGCCTGCACTATCATGACCTGAAGCTGTCCAGTTGTCCAGTCTGGTCACCTTTGGGGAATTAAAGCTTATATTACAGACAGACATGCTTCTTCTTCCACTAAATTACCACATTTAAAGTAGAAAAAGACATGTATTGTATCTTCTACTGTATTGTATTCTATCTATTTTAATGTTAAGGTACATTTTGAGTAGCCTGATTTATCAGCTAGTTTCACTTTGTGGAAACCGTCTGACCTCGCAGCATAAGGATTCATTCACCCAAAAGCAGGTACCTCTTTTTTTAAACAATTGTTGCTATTTGGTTGTGATGTGTTTAATGCACCAAATCCCATAGGAAGAAGGGCAATAGCATTTTTCTCTTTGATAAAATTCACCAATCATTCTCTTTGTTCTGGCTTTAAATCCTCGATCTCGGGAATAGTTGCCAGCACAGAATGTAAAGCTTCGTCTACATTCCATCCACCCAACCGCTTTGTTTACTGTTGTGCTGTACCACAAAAGGGACCCAGGCAGGCGCTTGAGTTTGATGTCATGGGTTCACAGCTCTTTGCTGACAAACCGTCTAGTGTATTCCGATTCCTGACCTAGTTGCTGGAGAGAAATTAAATTGAGTGGAGGCACTAAGTGGCACGAGCCTGGCTACATTTTGAGGCAGATGTTTCAGGTTTTTTTTTCCTCCATGTAGATGTACTTAAACCGGATGAATGAACACCATGACACCAGCCTGCACATAATGCTGTATAAATAAAAGGATTCATATAGATCAGGGCTGCTCACACTTTTTCAGCATGTGAGCTACTTACAAAATGACCAAGTCAAAATGATCTACCTAATACAAAGCCAAGCAAACTGCACTGAAACACTCTGTGCCCCTTTTTTGGACCCTCACCCACAGTTTGAGAACCTCTTCTTTAAGAGAACTTCCTCTGGCACTTTACACAAAACTGTGAAAAAAGTGAAGGAAGATTTTTAAACCTGTTTTTTAAAGTTCCTAACTGGAGTTTCATTCTTTTCTGGTTTTACAGTGATATTTACCAGCCTCTGCACATTTACCAAACCAAACGCACATCGTGACAAACACAGATGCATTTGTGCACTTTTGTTAGGCAAACTTCAGCCAAATGTGGCAGTAGGTCTGTTCTGTAGATCTGCTCTATGCTGTAGACCTGCTTTGTGCCAAAACTGTAACACAAATTTAGACTCGTTTTTGCTTCACGTTTCGTCTTGCTCTTCTAATCAGCCGCACTGTGGGAGGGGCTTGTGTTCGCTGTACGCAGGAAGGAGCGAGAGCGTGAAAAGGCGAGGGGCGGCGTGCTGACGTGAGGCAGATGGACAGGTAGGATGTTTAGGAAGTTTAATCTGCCCTGTGATGCACGCTGCGACACGAGGGCACACGCTGTTGCAGACGAGCCGTGCACAGGGAGCGTGTGTATTTGTGATGTGCCGTAGAGTCTCCGCGGGCTGCACTGAGACGCCCCACACGCTCCTGCACCCCGCTACAAGTTTATTACCAACAGCAGCGGCCGTAATGAAATATGATCGCACTTGTTGAGTGTCAGACCTTGAGTGAGAGACAAGACCGAGTCCAAACGCGAATCCGAGACGAGACACGGCGATCTAACCACACGACCTTGGCGATCGACTGGTAGATCGCGATCGACGTACTGAGCACCCCTGATATAGATTAATAATAATAAAAATGTAGCCAAACCATCTAATATATTTCTTTTTTAATTGAGAATGTTTGTTAATTATGTTCCCTTTTTTCCTAGATCTTTACACCAACATTTTAGAATTGGAAAAATGCATGTAAAAATGTACCGTGCAATTTTTCCACAGAATTTTATAGTTGGTATTCACTCAGCAAACCACACAGAAGATTGCTCAAGGACTACAGGTTCACATGGAATAAAGCTTCAAAAAGCCATTTCATAAATTTCACAAAGTGCATTTTGCTTATTTGCTCTTCCACAGGCACTCCAGTCTTTGATCATGCATGTGTATGTGGTACCTCTGGGAAATGTCACCTATACTGTACATGTTTAGAGCGAACCGTGCCAAGCCTTACAGCTCCGAATATGCAAGTTGTTTACTGCTGTCAAAGTGATGACACATCTCCTTAGTGTTACCCTGAGCACCAACATGAAGGCAGCACGTGAAATATTTAGCCTGTGTCAGGAAGTAAACAAGCAGCCTGCTCCAGCTAGTTGGGACCAATCAAAAGTTTGGACATGAAAGGGAATGCCTGTGTGCGACACGTGGGGAGGCGGGGCTTATCTTGTTTACTAGTTTATGATGCTCATTTCTGCTTTGAAAGTCATCCTGCATGCACGGAGGGTGTCTAAAAACCTGCATCAAAAGAGCTGTGTGTTGTGCCTCCTGCTGATCCCACAAGCTCGGGTCTGTTATTATTGTAAAATGAAAAATACATACATTTGAAAAAGAAATGCCGCTCCCCATGTCTCAGATGTGTCTGTACCTACATGTTCAGTCACAAAGCATTATATAACAAAAACTATGCTTACAATTTTTTTTTAATTTGCATTATCCTTTCTAAAACAGTTCTGTAGGTAGTTCTGATCAGTCTTCTTTGAAGGATTTGAAAGAGTCATCATCTTCATCACTGACCCCTGTCCAGAATTCTTCTTCCTCCTCCACACTCCGATCCTCCTTTCTCTTCTCTTCCCCTTGGTCCTCTCTCAGTCCTCAACTTCCTCCTCTCTTTTCTCTCCCCTCTCCTCCTCCTCTTCCTCTTCTCTCTTCTCTTCATCCTTCTCCTCCTCTTCCTCCTCCTCTCTCTTCTCTCCCTCATCCTCCTCTTCCTCCTCATCTCTCTTCTCTCCCTCCTCCTCCTCTTTTTCTTCCTCACTTTCCTGTTCCATCCCCTCCTCTATCGCCTCTTCTTCATCATATTCCCGGATTGGTCTGGTCTGGTCAGAGTTTTGTTCTGGTTCAGACTCCTCTTCATCACTGGATCCAAGCTCGAGGTCACTCATGTCACTTTGGTCATCCTGAGAGGTCAGAGGTCGCCCACACCCCACACAGGAGTTAGCCCAGCGCAGCAAGCACGAACTACAATACACAGCGCTGCAGGTGGGAGAATCACAGTTCACAGCCGATTCCAGATTCAGCTCTTCGGAACATGATATGCAAGAGGTATTTCTCAAACCCAGGACTTGCAAAATTCTGGATCCTCCAGGAATTCTGAGTAGAAAAGCCTGAATACGTCCTCTGTTTCTGGATCTAAGCAGAGGTGTTCTGAAGACAGTCCTCTGAGCCCTCTTTTCCCATCGACGCTGTTCCAGGACTTTGCTCCGGAGATGGCAAAGACGCTCCAGCTCTCTTTGGGGATGGAACCAGGAGCAGACCACTCTTCTTGCTCTCTGCACGAAGCCTTTGCAAATAGCGAGCAGAAGAGACAAACCCAAAAGGAACCCGAGAGTGACGGAGGTGCCAGTGTCCGGGGGTCTTGGTTTGACAACGCAAGCTCGACTGAAAACCGTGAGACTGTGGTTCTGGAGGATCTGGAAAGAGTGGACCAAGTCTCTGTAAATGTCTGCCGCAAAACCAGACCCATTCACTGATACTTGGACTTTCACCGGAGGTCGTACTACTATGTCTGCTGAGACTTGGTGCTGAACCTGGTCTAAGATCCAGAAAATCAGAAAGTCCAGTGCCACCAGGATTCCAGCAATCAGCAAGTGTGTTAGTGCAGAAGACACGTCTGCCAGGACTGCTCGCCTCTCCTGAAGTGACATTCTAAAAGATAACGGATGGATGTAGAGCTTTGATTCTTGTGCTGTGATTGGCAGAACTGATGCCCCGCCCCTTGAGGTCACATGACGGTCCAGTTCTTTGAAGGAGTTATCAATGTAAATGTTGTCAAAGTCCAGATCTCGAAGGTAGCGGCGTCGATAGCGAGCCGCCTTGTAGTAGCTCCACACTAAAAGCAGCACTGCGAGGTAGTTCAGGGGCTGACTCAGCATCTCCAGCAGGTACAACTCTGATGTCACTTCCTTCAGGATCTGTTGTGTCATTTCCTGTAGAGACTGGCTGCTGTTCACGTCCAGATCAAAAGTAACTGACGCGTCAAGGTCAAAAACAAACTCCTTCTTAAGCTGTTCGAAAGCCGCCACCACAGGAGTTGCTAGGCGTTTTTTTAGCTGCTCTGCCACGTACGATGGGATGACACAAAATAGTTCTCCAGCTTTGGCTAGGTCACATAGGGGCATGAAACCATCTACAATCTCACACAGGAAGTTGAAATCTCCAAGAAGCTCATTACAGTCTAGCCTGGCCTCTTCAAACAGCTGTCTGCACTTGCTGTAGGGGGCGCCCATCTCCTTGTTACAGATGTCCCCGATGTCGACAAGAAAGTGCAGCAGGTTCCTCAGAGAGCGAGCAATATGGCGAACATTATCAGTGAGGGAGTCAATCAGGTTCTGGATTCTACCAGCGGTTTCGTAGGCGTTATTGCTGATCTCACGCAGTTTATCCAACGACGCTGAGAGGGGAGAGGCGGCCCTTCGAAGAATCTCTTGTGTCTGATTGGCTGAGAGCTGAGCGGAGCAAAGCAGGCTTGAGGCGACCAGTTCGGTGTTGTGGAGAGAGTTGGAGATCGGACCAGAGACCAGGACCGAAACCAGGAGCAGGGAGACCAAAGTCCTGCCTTGGCCTGCGCAAAGGGAGGGGAGCATCACGGCGACGTCGGCTCTTACCATCTTCGAGAGGCCCATCCCAAAGCCGGAGACGCAGGCCACACCCACCGTGATGTAGGCACAGGTCCACACAGTGAACTTCTGGAGGAATAGCAACATGGAGCCAAACAGGAGCGAGAAAAAGAGTCCAACGCCGAATCCAAGCAGAGAGGAGAGAGAGGAGGAGGAAAAGAGAGAGGAGAGGACGGAGGAGATGAAAGTCACACCATGCCTCCGCTTGACCAGAACTCCTTTCGCTGTCCTTATAACTCCTCCTGAGCCAAATAACTCCACCGTAATCTCCGTCATTTTCAGTAATTTTTTTCTTCAGTTAAAAGTATTCATTCAATTTTCAATCAACGTCTGTGTTACCAAGGAAACCCTCAATCACATGGTTACAGATGTATTGAAATCAAAACAAATTGTATCTTTAATTTACTGTATGTATGGTATTAAACCTTTCTATCTTCGTGGAGACCTTTAATTATTTAAACTTTAAACTTTGTCAACATCCTTTTTATCAGGGAGTAAAGGCAGAAGTGGTAATTTGGCAGAGTTTTAAGCCAGTACTGTATTTCACTGCAAAATCAGGGTGTAGTTTTATTATCCAGCAGAAACACATTTACTAGGGCAGGATACAAAATGGTTTGTATCCTTTGGTTTCTATTCAGATAACCTAGCCAACAATACTGCTGCACTACTGCCAACTCACGGGGAAACATAATTATGATTGGAAATTTATCACAGTTACAAATTTCAACTCCACACCCAAAAAACCATTGGCCTGTACTGAAAAGCCTTACAATGTTATGATTTATCTGAAATGTAATTAAATGATTGAAACAGCCTTTATAAAAATGTTCTTAAGCTGTTTATTTTTAGTCTTAAAACCTGAAACAGTTCAGTTCATTTTAAATAGTTTGCCATGGTTTAAAACAGGGGTTGGGCAATTCTGTTTTCCATGGGGCCACATGAGAAACAGAAAATAAAGGGCCAGGACAAAATGCTTAAAGGGACAGTCTAGAATTTTGGACACAGGGCCTCATTTCCTAGTGAGCCAGAGTGTTGGAGACGTGTGGAGACACTTTTTAAAATATTCCATCCAGTTCTTGTATTTAGAGGTCGCTGGTGCTAGGTTAGTGCATGCCAATGGCCATAGTTAGCCTGCCACTAAAAACAGACTTACCCACTTCACAAAACACCCACAGCAAAACAGTTATTACACCAGACTGTCAATGTAAATGTCTGCGTTGATAGAATAATGTTTGAAATAAAACTAACCTTGCATCACGTGAATCGGCGCATGTTGAGGGACTATTTTCTCGTATATCAGTCCGCCGCTGCCAAGCTTTCTATCAGGAAGTACAACTCGCTGCTGCTGCTCAGACATAAATCCTTCACCTGAAGCAAATCTATTATTACGCCAGACTGTCGATGTGAATGTCTGTGACTATTTTCTCAGCAGCAGCAGAACTTTATTTTGCCAGTAAGATAGCTGCTAGGTGATATCAGTCCACCGCTGCCAAGCTTTCTATCAGGAAGTACAACTTGCTGCTTCTGCTCAGACATAAACCCTTCAAATGCAAGGTTGGTTTTACTTCTAAAATTATTCTATTGACACAGACATTCACATCGACAGTGTGGCGTAATAGTAAATTTGCTTCGGGTGTTTTGTGGAGTGGGTAAGACTAGCCTTGCACCAGTGACCTCTGCAAATACAAGGACTGGATGGAATATTTTATAAAAAGTGTCTCCACACGTCTCCAACACTTTGGCTCACTAGGAAATAAAGTCCTACGTCCAAAATTCCAGACAGTCCATTTAACTTCAATTCTGCATAATATTAATTGTATTTCTTCATAAAAAAGCAGCAAATAGGATTGTTTTGTCAAGCTGGTAGGACTGATAAGAGTATATATTATGACTAAGCAATGAAAAAGTGAGGCTGCCTTAAAAAAACATAATTAAAAAACACTTCTAAAATAAAAGCAATGCAGCTTCAGTCCATGCATGAGGTAAAATTATAAAACATACACAAATTAGCTTAAACGGGCTGGTTGGACGCAACCAAAGGGCCATATGGGCTAAAGTTATTTCTCAATTTTAAAACACATTAGAATCCTAGCTGGGCCAGGGTGGAGTTTGGCCATCACAACTAGCCTGCTAACAGCACACTTCCTGGTCTAAAGGATAAACTCTTTGTAATAAGATGCAGACAGCACACAGCAGTCTTACTTTGAAATGCTGTAGTAAATAGACTTGTGGATATGTTTCAGTGGTTGTGACTATGAAGGGCAATTCTATATTTGAAATTGGTGTTCCTTCATTCTATTTCTCAGACTTGTGTTCAATGTATAACTTGTTTATCTCATTCTCTTGTATCGCCTTTTCCGCGTTGCCAAGGGAACAGTCAATTAAAGGGGTTACAGTTGTATTCCACTACTCGTGCTATCGTCAGTGCAGGATTTATCTCGGCAGTCCTGATTAGCATATTCCATCATGTTAGACAAATAGAAGACAATGAGGGCCTTGGGGACGAGTCGTAGAGGATTGCATGGCATACACAGACATCAGTGTGTTTGGATGGTCTTATGAGGCACGCTGTGGAGAACCCCTCATTCGATATGCATTAGAGATTGATAGAATTCTTGTGTTGTCAGAGGAGCTTAAACATCCACGGTGCTTCAGTGTGTGGGTGGAGGTGAATGTACAATCATGTCTGCATAATGAAAAATGAGAAATCAGTTATTGAATGGTGGCGATAGATGTGGGGCTTCAAAGAGTTGTTGTCATTTGGGGTTTTCAATGGTCTATCTCCAGGCGTGTAAGGCGGACTCGTAGTACTTTATGGAAAAACATAGAATACGAAATCAGTTCCATGTGTAATCAATAGCCCAGCACAAATGCGATCCGCTATTGCAGGATGTGGAGAAGTGCAATTACGTTTTTAAATGAGATATTTGTATTGATAACATTGCAATATAACAGGGTTTTGGAAAAGGTTTGCATGACAGTTGAGTCGTTACAGGGAGGATATGCAGAAATACAGGATGCAAAATTGAAAATAGAAGTCTATCTTCAATTTTATAAACGTGATTCATCCGTGTCCCCAGCTGTCCCCTCATGTTCGAATAAAATACAGCTTTTACTGATAACAAATGTAACGTTGATTAATTCTTAGTTCCTCATGTTGTGATGGTTTGTTTTGGTTCTCAAAACGATTATCCAATGACAAAGCATCATTTCATTTCATTTCACTTCATTTGGGTTGCCACTTTCAGAGCTGAAATCCTGTTGGTTTAAATCTAAAAGTATTCCTTCTCTGACCTGAATCCTCACTACGTAAACCGCAGCACCTACAGCCAATCCTGAATTCTGGAGGCTCTGAGCTTTCACATGAGTGACATCTTTACATCTACTGAGAATGAGGAAAACTTGTGTCCTCACTGGCAACCCAGGTTCAGCTGTGATTGTACTTTTGAAACCAGTGTAACAGAGTTAATTAAAAATGAACATGTTACTATTTTCTGGTTGTATTTTAAGTTTAATTATAATTTACATGAATTTTATCATTTTGACATTCTATTTTGAAAAACAGAAGTGTGTGCTGCTTCCGTGTATTTTATTTTGGTAGTTCAACTTCCCCTCTCAGTAGCCCATCAGAGACTGAGAGACAGAGGGTAAGTTCTGTCTGGGCAAAGTATATATTTCATAAAAACATCACACTTTTAACATAAATACAAATACATGTTGATGAGACTACTTTTTGTTTTATTTAGTTTTATTTTTGTGAAGGTTGTAAGTAGTGCATTTGTTTCTCCGGATAGCTGCTCCACTGTACTTGATTGGATTTGGAATAATTATTTTGTTCTTCATACATGATTTACATAAATGAGCCAGTCTGTAACTGTAAGCTCCCCCTCCTCAGTAGCCGTTGGAGACTGCAGAGGGGAGCCAGTGCTGATATGTGGAGACATATGAATAGAGTATTTATATATCATAGGAATAAAGCAGACTGATTCCACACTGTGTCCTGTCTTCTATATGTGGCCTGACGAAGACTCCGCAGCCGTTACACCAGCAAGTGCACAGGCTACATACCTTACCCTTTAATTTTTTTTTAGGAATCAGGTTGGGGGTTTGATCCTCGACCCATGTTTCTTCAATATCTAAGAAACAACACAGAACAGTTTTAATTCGAGCATGCGCCCTACCTCTGCCTTTTTAAAGAATACTCCGTCACATTTCAATTAATGTTACACTGCAGAAACTCACATGTAGTCAAGTTAAGATGACTTGAAAGTTTGATCATGATTTGAGTCAATTTCACTTGATAAGTAAAATGATGTACCAATGGAACAAGACTTTTTATACTTAAAATATGAAAATACATCTTGCTACACTTAAGATAAGAAAAACAACTCTTTGCACTTAATTCAAGCAACATTAGATTTTGTTTCTTATTTTAAGAAAAACACACTTATTTCATTGGTAGATTATTTTACTTCTGAAGTTAAATCTACTCAAATAAGGGCAAATGTTCTTAACTGAAGTCATTTTAACTTACCTAGATATTGCTTTTTGCAGTTTATCAAGACTGTCATTTAGTAATCATAACTATTTAAAATGAAGACTTCACCCTATTGTAGCAGCATGGCAAAGTTTTGGACATATCCTCTGCTTTTTGTGAGTTCAGGGGGGTCTCTGTCTGTCTTTTTGTCTCATCTCATTCTGGAAGTGGCCATCAGAGCATGAGGGTGTGAAGTGGACATATCCAATTTTTTTTCTCAAATGGACAAAACAACACAGCAGTCACAAAGGTGAGATGGATCTGACAGCGAAGGGCGTCTCGTATAAAGGAACTTGATGGAATGGAAAAGTGAAATACTGTATTTGTTTATACAGAAAACGCCAAAACCAATGAAGTGTACGATGTCTTGATTTTTTGCAGGTAGGGTGGAAATGGACCGTACAGTAGTGAGAATTGCATTTTTTACTCCATTATTTCAGTTAGTATAAAGAGGTTGGTGTGTAAATGAAATCATGTGTTTATGTGTCATGTCGTATACATTTTGAGGACTTTCAAATGTTTTGTTTTAAATTGTTACTCATTATGGAAACAGTCCTAATTTATGATCATTTTGGAACCAATGAATAGTTTCTTT